ATGACTCTCTACTCGAACTCGCATGAGAAAGCGTTGAGCAGCATAAACTACACGGTACTTGTCAGATTGAGCAGCATCTCTTTTTTTTTCCCCTTTTTTTCTACTTTTTCGTTTATTTATATTTTTCAGATATTCTTTTGTTAGTAGATTCAAATCTATCTAATAAAAACCAAATGATATCGTAAATACTTTATGAATACACTATCAAAGATTTTGAAAGTATAGATAAGGCTTCAAAGAAATTCAATAATAAATCATTTTAAATGAATCAAAGAAATATTGTGAAATCTGATAAAATCTTATCTGATTTAAATATAATGGAGTTAAATTAATATAAGACAAAAGAAACCCACAGTAGAAGCATGTGAATCGATCCACAGCCACAAAGCACAAAAAGTTTCTTATAGCAAACGATTTGAATGTTGTAGTTCTCAATTTCTCATCATCTCCGGAGTTTTGTAAACCCTAGTTTCCTTGAGAAGCAAGTCATCTGAAAACAGTCTGCTTTGAAGATGATGAAGAGGAAAAGCACAGTAGATCTCCCGGAGGATTTGATAGGGGAGATACATTCTAGGGTTCCGGCGATATCTTTGGCACGATTCCGATCAATATCCAAAGGATGTAACGCTCTGATCAAAGATTCGAGATTTGCGAAGAAGCACTCTGTTAATGCTCCGAGGCGCTCCTTGGTTATCACATTGATTGACTTTAGGGTTCATTTACTAAGTGTCGATATCCGTGGAATCCACGACAACGTTGTTCCATCTATCAAGGTAACAAGTGAATATAACTTTCCTCTTTCTTATTCTTCGGAAGAAGAAGTTGGTATAGGCTACGTCTTTCACTGCGACGATTTATTGCTATGCACCACTAAGGACAATAGACTCGTGGTTTGGAATCCATGTTCTGGTGAAACCAGGTGGATCCAGCCCAGAAATTCCTACAAAAAATCCGATAACTACGCTCTCGGTAAATCTTCCTGCAACAAGTACAAAATCTTGAGGCTGGATCATGATGATGGACCTGGTTTTGTGAACGAAATCTATGACTTTACCTCTAATTCGTGGAGGGATGCTGGTGAGACTAGTGATTGGTAAATTCCATCGTGCCGGGGTCATGGCATGTCTGTGAATGGCAATACTTACTGGATTGCTATTGCAAGTGTGTAAATGATACTAAGTTTTGATTTTAAAACAGAGAGATTTGGAAGTGTGTCTCTTCCGAGTGATCCTCTTTCCTCTACTGCTTTTGCTTTATCAGTGACTAGAGAAGAGCAAAAACTTTGTCTGTTAACTACTCCTGGATACGATATAGATGTATGGATGGCAACTAAGATTGAGGGTACCGGAGCCGCATCGTGGAGAAAGTTGCTAACAGTGGAACGAGGCCTAGACCAACCGTCTGCTATGTTTTCTGTCGGGATGAATTTTTTGGCCGACCAAGAGAATAAAGTTTTAGTGTGTCCTAGTAAATATAACAACTCTCGCAGCTTATACATTGTGGGAGAGGATAAAAAAATGCATACAAGTGGATGATAATGAAGCAGAATCTCTAGTCTCACTTCTCGTCAGTTATGTTCCAACTTTGGTTCAAATCCAACAAAGTTCTTTGGGTGTAGGCGCAAGGAAAGTACCAACCGCATAACTTGTAATTTGTTACACTAGTTTATGCATTATCTATATCCAAGTCTTTGATATGTAATAATACTTATGTCTTGCTACTTTATAATTCAAGTTCCCAAGCTATTCGAGTTTTATTTTTACCTCTAGTGACTGGAATAATGTTGGGTTTTTTTTTTAATGTAAAATTAGTATTCAATCAAAAGCATTTGTACAATCAGTGTGTGACCTAAGTTTGAAGTAGATTCAAAACATAGGTATTATAACATCATCA